CTAGCTCACAAATGATATCCACTTGTGCCAAAATACTTAAAATAACATTTAATACAAATCATTCAAGAGTCTGATTGAAAGGTAAAAACCAGAGATCCTTTATTTTCCTACATTGCAGCAATTTTATACACACATCCAACAAAAAAATGTATTTTGGGCTGAAAGTTTTGGAATGGCCTTGCTTGAGTACGGTACTAAATCTTACTGTGAATAATGTGGGCAAAAAGTGTGCTCCCCATCTGATGCATCTGATAACCTTTTGCAAAGAACACAGGCCAGAATCTGACAGTGACAGATCTCTAAGATAAATAATTCTACTAAAAGTATTTGTTTGATTCAGTGAGCTTATGAAACAGGGTTATTTCAGCTCATTTTTTCACATATTTCTCCCTAGTACTTTTGTTTTTTGCTTAAATGGTGGAGGATATTTGTCCGAATAATAGAACAGGTGGGAACCCTTTAAAATATCAGTGGGTGCTACCAGAATTTGTCTCCGTCACCTGAACTATATCATTTTATCTCCAGTTAAAACCTATTAAACCTTATGATATCAGAAGCAAAAACATTAAACTCTGCTATTGTTGAAAAACACCCTTTTCCTTGATGACCGCCTTAATATGAAAAACACTAGTAAGACATAACCTATTGCCTGGGAATATACAAAAGATGTTCTCTGAAAGGGAGGGAGGGTACGATTTAAGGGGAAGGGGAAGATTTAGAACAACAAAGAGAAGATTATGTTTATCAATTCGTGGAGTTAAATTGTGGAACAAACTAAACGAGAACCTAAAGCAATGCCCAAACATATTCCTTTTCAAAAAAATGTACAAAGAAATTATTTTCAGAAAGTATAGAGAAGCATTGTAGAAAGTTTTGTTTGTGTTTTTTGTTTTGTTTATTTGCATATATGTATATGTGTATAAATATTTATGTATGTATATATGTAGGTAGGTGTGTATATATATATGTATATATATATAGCAACATAATTATAAATATTGTAAATTAAAGAAATAAAATAATTAAAGGGGTAGGAGTACATAAGTTTTAATTCTTCCTACTCCTTTTCGCACAGGTAATAAAGGTATATTAACTCAGGAAAGAAAGGTACCGTGTTTGTTGTTTCTCTCTCCAATGTTTTTAAACATTATTTTATTGTTTGTTTGTTTGTTTTTTTCTCTTGCATATTCGAAATAAAGATACCAAAAAAATAAAATAAAAATGTTGTGCTTTAAACTAGAGTGAATAGCCAATGTTTTAGAATTCTGTCCACCTGTAGAAGCAAGCCGGTGAGTCCAGCAGGAGGGTCATAAGTGCCACTCAGTTCCTAAGAAGCATAGCAGTCCCACCCCTTTGAGAGTTTTAAATCAAGTAGCAGCTTGACATGTTTGAGCAAAGAGGACTCCAGAAACACAATACGGAGCGGATGGTAGGTGTGAAACCAAAAGAATGCAAGTGGTAGATTACAGTCATTCTTATTCTTGGTGAAAGTAATAGCTGCCGTTTAGACATGAGCTGCAGCTTGTTCAGTAGCACAAGTAGCAAAACCCAGTATCACCTTTAAGCCTATTACAGAAAAAAAGATCCAAGTAAGTGGCTTTTTTATTCAGAAATGATCTATTTAGGAAATGAATTAACATTTTATTGTGAAGTCAAAAGATTTGTTTTTGTGATCAATCAATGCAGTTTTTAGACTATATGGCAGACATATACAGTAGTCTAAAAGAGGCTTCGCAGCATCCGATGCAGGTCCAGCAGATTCCGTAACAGCTTCTTCCCCACTGCCATCAGACTGCTGAACTGTTGAGAAAACTCTAAATCATGTCATAGACTCTGCATCACACTGATAACACCAAAACAAAATACTGCATATTTGCACAATACATATTTATTACTCTGAACTTCCATATCAATGCGTTTTTGCACCATGTTTTGTTTCCGATTTTGTTTACATTTCATTACTGCTGCGCTTTAAGAAATGGAAATGTCATGAGAGCTGTACAGACAAAATTTCGTTTTGTATACACTCTGTGCATACAAAATGACAATAAAAGTTGTCTAAGACATGAATGTAACACAGACCCAAGCCCTATCTAACTGCATTTCATCTGAGACAATTAAGACGTTCTTGGGAAGCGCTCTGATTCAACTTTCAGCTCCTTATTTTACTCATGACAGAGATTCAATAGGGAAGTGTCTCTGGGTGGGTTATGAAGGAAAAAGCTTCAGATATGGGGTGGAGAGGCTGGAATGATACGCTCCATGAGGCTGAACATCCACTGGGGTGCGGAGGGGCTTCCTCGTGAGAGATCCGCCATTTATCACCACCTTTAACCAGGGCACCGCTGAGAACACCCTAACAGATCAAATATTTGTACGGCGGCTGCCCACTGACAGGAGCACTCCGTGGTGGCAGTAGCTGGAAGGCAAATCTTTACAGACCATTATTTAAAAGACAAGGCAATAGTTCTTTGAAAAAATAAAGACACAAATATAAAATAGCAGCATTCTTTAGACCATATGGCTGCTAAATGTGTAGTTATACTTATCCAGAAAAGAAGAATATAATCTTATTGAACTACATCACATATATGAATATATTTCCATATAACATACTTAAAACAAATATAGTACCTATGATTACAATTACACAACTTAAAAATATCAATTATTTGTTTTAGATATATAACATCTACTTCCATCCTATGGAGTGATTTTTCTGCCAAAACGTTGTGTACAAAAACGCAGCTAGACGCAACACCGGCATGTTTCAGTTGTTTGTATGGTGCCCCCTGCTGTCGGTTAGTCGGAATGACAATTATCCATGTATCACGTGACTTTTGGCAGAAATTTACAGCGGAGTGTGAAGAATTGTCTCGTACGCGAGGAGAGGTTGTTTTGTATGCGAGCAGAGATCGCTTTGTGCTCTGGGACAATTTACAAATTATATTTTAAGTGCAATGTTAGAGTCGGGTTTGTAAAACTAATTTTTGTGTGTTTGCGATATTTAAGGACAGTTTGAAAAAAAGCTTTATTTGTGTGTGACATTAGAGGAGAGTTTTATTTGTGAACAATAAGATTTATTTGAGTGCAACATATTCATTTGTGAGTGATAAGATTTTTTTGTGTGAAACATGCTTTATGCATTTGCAACATGCATTATGTGTGTGCGCAACATGCATTTATGTACATGTTTTGGCAGAAAAATCACTACATACCATCCTTATCTCATCCATTGTGAATGTCTTCGTTAATGCAGTAGTGCCAGTAAATCATCAATAGGTGTCAGCATTGCAATGTGAGTATATCAAATAATATAAATGTTGTAAGCTATTGCATTTTGCAGAATATCTTAATCAAATGTTTTGATTAAATTTAACAGTCTAATAAGTATTAAAGTGTAAAAAGAGCTACATTTGCAGTGAGAGAAACTGTGCTGCAGTGGTAGAGTCAGTGTGTTTATTTTGATGGACAAGCTTCACCTCTCTTCAATTTTGGTTTATTATGATTGTAAATATTCAGGACCTCAGCTCCTGGTCTGGACTGTTTAGCAGTTTTCTCCACTGATCTGGATGGTTTTCTGGACGCTGTACTGTGTAAGCAGATTTAAATAAACAATAATTAAATAACTTGATCCTTATGTTTGAACTAAGTTTTCACATTTATTGACTGACCTGCTCAGACAGAGATGGAAACCTGAATGTGGTGAACAAAAATTCCCGTCCCTTCCTTTGAAGACAATATTAACACCTGTGATTAAGAACAGGAACAAGAAGACAAACATCCTTCAAATGTAGCAAAGACCATTTAGAAACTGCCCTACAGTAAATGATAATAAATAAAACTAGCAACACTTACTGAGGAAATCATTTAGCATGTGTGGATTATGGGATAATCTTCAGCCTTTTAGCAGCTCATTGCAGCAGAAACAAAAACACATCTTGACGGCATCATCAGTCTTGTGGAAAAAAATAAAATGTATAAGAACAAAGACGACTGTTTGAATTTAAATATACTTGAATTGTTCCTGAAATTTACTTTCATATAAATAGAAAGTGTAGCCCTACATTATGCTTTTTTTATTAATATGCATGTTACCGGTATTATATGTTATTATGCTTTGTTTAAATCTCCACTTGACTCGTTCAGATTTAGATTTGAAAAACATCAATTAACAGATGCTCCTCCTGAGTTTTGATGAGGCAAAGTCTTCAAAATACAGAGAGGTATTAAATCCATTCTCAATTGCCAATGGGGAAAATGCATTCAGTTTCTTTTCTGTTACTGCTGCTCTCATGTATGTTTTTAATCTAGGGCCTCCTGTTCTGATAATGGCAGCAGGTTCAAAGCTGTCAGATGGGTGCCTTGGTAGAAACTTCTGTAAATATATTTTATATATTTTATAATTTATAAAAAAATTTATAAAAAAAAAAAAAAGAAACTTCTGTAAAGACCCTGCTGCATCTTCTTCTGCTCCCTCTGTTATCTTTCTTTTTACTTTTGCCGCACCTGGAAGCATTTTTATCAAACATGCTCCTGTCAAATAGCTAACTGTCCTGACCTCGCTTCGGACTAAACCGATTAATGTGACAAATTGTATAATGTAAATTTCACTGGGTAAAGAAATTTTAAGATTAACAACTCCAACATGCTTTAATAATAAATATTGAACAAAATTAGTTAAATTAAAAATTACACAAACACACATATATATTTGTGTATTTTCTGTTTATCTATCTATCTATCTATCTATCTATCTATCTATCTATCTATCTATCTATCTATCTATCTATCTATCTATCTATCTATCTATCTATCTATCTATCTATCTATCTATCTATCTATCTATCTAACTATCTATCTATCTATCTATCTAATTTTTATTATTTATTTATTTTGTCCTTTGCCTGCCCCCTAGCGGAAATTACGTCACATAATTCACTACAGGACTTTGTATTTGTTGTTACTGCGCATGCGTCGTTTAAATCAGAGCGCCGCCACCAGAAAGCTAAACATGGCGTCTCAGCGAGTGGCTGTCGTCTGTGAACCGCGCTCAGACCCATCCAAAGAGAAAGCTCATTTAATTTATAAACTTTATTTGCTTGAAATTGTTCGAAATGAGCTGGAGGAAGAACTTCGGGACTTCATTCATCAGGTAATGTGAGCTGCAGTGATTAGAAAAGCTGTCTTCTTTGGGTTAGCTAAACCGAGTTCTGTAGCTAACATGTGTGTGAGAGAAATCTTAGTTGAAGCAGAGGTCCGCTTCAGGAAGCTGGTTTAATGAAACAAGACAAAGAACTGTTTGAACAAATATTGAGGAATTCGTTTTTTAATCAAATCATATTTTTATATATGAACATTTGGCATTTGATTTCTTTTTGTGAGGAAAAAAATATTAAGGGCACCGGAAGTGACCGGGTGAGTCCACTTAGACCAAAGGTCTGCACCTTGCCTCTATAATGCCTCTTAATAGCTGCTTAAAATGACCAGTGAATAGCTTAGAAATCATGGGTATTTTTTTGCATACCAAATATTGTGCTACAGAATAAATGTCCTGCTTTATCTTCATGAACCGTTTTATATTTTTCCTTATTCTAAAAAAAATAGAAATATAAACTATCTGTTAGTTTGTTTAAAACAAGTTAATATAAGCTTTATTAAAAGGTAAAGTTATGTCACTTAATAGTGACATTACTTTTTTCTTACTTTATTTAATACTTTACTTAATTCTCAATAGTGCTCAAATAGTTCAAAAGTGCTCTTGTACCCGAAAAACATCATCGGCCTCAGCTGTAGTACTGTTTATGTTTTTGTCTCTGGAGGAGGTTTCTTGTCTGCAAATCATGATAAAATCATGACGATCCCTCTGTTTAAAAAAAAAAAAAAAAAAAGATATTAAATTAACTGCTTAATTGTCCCCTTCTGGTTTGAGAAGAACAGAAGTACAAAAAGCCAAAGTAGCAACCAGCACAAAATTACTAAATGTAAGCAGGGCTGCAACTAATGATTATTTTGCAAATTGATTAATCTATGGATTATTTTTTCGATCAATCGATTAATAATCTGATGGCAAAAGGTTCCTTAAAGAAGACTTTTTGCAAAATGAAACCAGGAGAAACTAAAACTTGTCCACATGAGGAATTCTGGGTAGAGAATATTGATGAAAAACAATTTGATTGTAAATGCAAAATGTTTTCACATGTTCTTTTTGCATTTTTGGTATAATTGCTGCTCTAAATAGGACGCTCTGTCAGCTAAAGTCATGTTTCAGTGTCTCTGTACTCCAGTTAAGCCATGAATATAGGAAAACCTGGTAAGATTTTTTTATTTAAATAGATTGTGCAGTAGATCCTTTTTTTTTTTTTTTTTTTTTTTTGAAACAGTATTGGGGTGAAAAAGTGAAAGTTTACAGTTACAATAAACATACTGTAATATGTTTTATAAATCCAGCAGGCACCTCAACACTAAATGATGAATACTGTATGTTACTTTCTAAAAAAAAAAAAGCGAGAGGTACATCTTATCCAGAAACTAATTTAGATTTTGATTAATATAAATAAATTGAATGAAGACCAACACAGTTCTAATCCAAGGTCTTTACTTTCAGCATTTTCAGTGTTTTCATTTTTAGGTTCGACTATAAACAGTGATTTCTGCAAACACAGACGTGTTACAGTGTGACTATCTTGAGTTTTAAATAATATTTGGAATATTTTAATTATTGACTTAATTTAATTTTTAACCACTTTCTGTGTTGTTTATGTTGATGTACCTATAATATGGAAATTCGGATTACAGCATCAATACCTTAGCTACACTCAAAAAGAATCATGGTGAGAACCCTGCTTCATAGGCAGGGTCTTTCAAAGACCTCTATCCTTCAGCAGCAGTCCTGCGCTCCCACCTCAGTTCCCAGAGTAACCCTAACAGCATGAGGCATGGAGCTATGAAGTCTAAACATTGTCTTTTTTAACATGTAATGTTGCATACATTTGTCAAATCTTATGAAATCTAAATTAATATGGCATCATTGTAACACTAGTCTTAGACAAAAAATAAAGGCAGTAAATGGCATTTGACAAAGGTTAAGGTAAAACCTGTTTAATCATATTTTTTGTTGCTATAATTTTAGGGGGGGGGGGGTCACTAAAAAACATATTAGAATCTAATTTGCCTCACGTGAATAAAGGAATTTGAGGAATCTTGTTGATTTGTTCACAACACCCCAATATACTTCTGACAACCATTCTCTCATTTCATTTCTGTTCACCACCAAATTATAAAAAAAATAGAATGTAGAACACAGACTTTATTTAAATAGTTACATATTGCAGTTTTATAATAAATATGCTGTTGAAACATTCCATGGAATATTCAAATCATTTCCTGATTTAAGAACCAATTCTGTGTCGCACATTGAATATTATTTAAGTTAAAATACTGTTATGTATAGATAAGAATGTCTGCGTATGTGTCACATTTTTGGAGAAAGTATATTGTTAAATGGGGACACTGTTTTTAAAATGGTAACAAATGAGCAAAAAAGTATAACTTTGTCATAAGAAGGTAAGAAGACGAAATTACGTGTCATTTTGCAAAAAAAATAAAAAATAAAATCTTTTAAATTCTTGAGGTAGCACACACATCATGAATGTTCAAATTAGAGATCTTTAATCTAGATTTATTCCAAGATTGCAGTGAGATTAATCTAGATTAAAAACATTTATCTATGCCCACCACTAATGTGGAAGAATATTTGTATGAGAGTTAAAATATATGTACATGTAGCTCCCTTCCTGAGCGGCAGAGGTATAAGGCTGCAGTCTGAGTTTCACTTTTGTTTTAGGTTTCTTTGTTTTTATTGGCTTAGATAGTATCTCATAGTTTTAGGTTTAAAATATAAGAGAATTCCCAGACTCTTATTAAGCTTCTTTGTGCTTTTTGACCATTAGGGATATCCATCCGTGATCATTCTTTCCTCTGATAATCCACCAGACATATGAAGAGCTACGCGGCGTCCTCCAGTCATCTCTTCCAACACCTTTGTTCAGAAACGTGACAAACGCTCTTGACATAAAGTGTAATAAATTCGGGAAGCTCTCAGCTTTATTAAAGGATCTGAAAACTGGTGAGTAGTAAATCAATGTAGTTTACATGAAGGTTGAAATATAATGGATATTTTATTGACTTTAATGTATTTAATGAATGCTATCAATGCATCTCCTCTGTCTGCAGACCACCAATCATGTGATGCTGTGAGCTTCAACTACTTTCAGCCACTCAAAGCTTTATTTTCCCATCATCATCTTCAAGTTTCCCTCCATCCATTGAGGCCTTCAGAGCAGGAAGATGACAGAGAGTCATCCAGCCTCAACAACACTACTCTGCCTGGAAGCATCTCCTGTTTAGAGAAAGAAGAAAAGGCTGTTTTTGAGGATGAAAATGAAGAAGTCTCAATAAACATCCTACCTGCGGTTGTTCAGAGCAAAGTCATTATTGAGGAGTCAAACGTACAACTTTCTTCTTTGAAAGATGCGCTCTCCGAGATCCAACAGTGTAACCATAGGTCTGTAGTAATCTGGGGCCATGGCGATGACGTCCAGGTACCACACCAAAAGCAAACCTCCTCCCAGCTGCTGCGTTTTCTCAAAGAAAAGGCTAAAAACAACGGTTCACTTGAGGTCACTGTTTTTGCATGTGCTAAAAGCAAACACATGGCAAACAATTCAGATTCTCCCACGCGGCCTTCACCTACTATCAAAACAAGAAGCGACCAAGTCGAACATGTTGTGACAGATGAGCCAGCTCCTGAAACGTTGCACGCAAACGTTCACCAAGCTCCAGTTTTCAGAGTGAAAAGAGTCGACTCGCACAGATCTTTGATCTACAGCTGTGTAATCGCTACAGAAACGGAATTATGGGACGTGGGAGACATCTTCACAGATGCTTTTCTGAAGGACTCTGTTCATTTTAGTACTTTGGAAAGTGAAAAATGCCAAACTGCGTTTGCTGAGTTGGATAAGTCTGAACCTTTAACATTAAAACCCCAAACTCTGCAGTCCACTCAGCCAGGACTGGAGGACTGCTCGAGGGACGCGGATAGAATGGCAGATAAATCGGTAGACATTCCTGAATTTGAAATCCGGAAGTTTGAAGAGTCTGAAGTGGTTGTCTCTCATGTTGTCAGTCCTAGTGACTTCTACATCCAACTTTCTGACTCCCCTAAGAAACTGGAGGCTCTTTTTACAGAGTAAGTCGTGAGTTTAGTCATACTTCACAGCTGCCTACCATTTCTCCTGATTGCCTTTGCATATTAAATCAGCTCATCCATTTTTGTCGCTTATTTGTAATACTCTTTTATTTCTTTCCACCTTCTTGTTCTTTATTTGCAGCCAAGCAGCCAGTCATTCATATGCTGAACAAAAATGCATTCCAGACATTGGAGCCCAGGTCATCTGCTGGTTTCCTCAAAATGAGCAGTGGTGTCGAGCTCAGGTGGTGAGGATCTCCGGAGTGAGTAGAAGTGAGTCCAGTTGAAAGTAAAATAGATTAACAAAGACCTACCTCTAGATGGCAGCAGAGTCACTTATTCAGAATGTGACCTCCTGGGAATTTGAGATCAACCTCTTCTGTCTCTTGGCTGCCACAGATGGGGCTGGCAGAAATCCATCCATAAATGTGGAGGTGAAACGGTTGGACTATGGTGACACTTCCTGTGTGCCGCTCTGTCATATTAAGCAGCTCTCTCCAGAAATGGCTGTGCTGCCACTTCAGGCTCTGCAGGTTTCTCTGGCTCATGTGAGTAGTCCTGTACTTCACTATTCGGTTCAGTTTTACACTTCATCACTTCATGGATTTAATGTCTACAACATGCATCAATAAAAACTGCCCCGTTAGAAAGGGTTTAGTTCTTTCTGTTGCCCAGCCGCAGCTTCATAATGAACGAAATTCATTATCTCTGTTCAGTGATTTGCTTCCTCTCCTCCAGGTGAGGCCAGTTAATGGCAGAGATTGGACCGAGGAGGCGGTAGATTGGTTCAAAGCGATGGTGCATGGCAGGACGCTCTATGCAAGACTTTACCCACAGGGGCTCGCTGTTTCAGTCGAGCTGTTCCTGGAAAGAGGAAAACTTGGAGCTATGAGGTATTTAATTATGAGCCACTCGGTTATTAATGCATTTTAGAAAAATGATGCCGTGTATTGAATAACAAAGTGAGTCCAAATGCTCATCTGGAACCTATAGTGACTCCAGTGCGTAAGTGTTCATATTTTTCATTCAGTCATGTTACGAAACCACGCTATAATGCTTTTTGTTTGGATTTTATGTGATGAACCAAAATAAAGCCATACATTAATTTAAGGCAGGAAGAAGATTGATAGTTGGACACAAATTTAAATCTCAAAACTATTGCAGGCATTTGTGTTTAATTCAGTAAAGTAAAATACCTGTAGCACAAATGGCACACTAAACAGGTCAAAGTTCAGTTTTAACGCAGAGCTTAGAGTGAACATGGACAGTGTGTGCAGCTAGTGTGGTTACAGAGGCTAAGCAGCTCAACAAAATGTTCCCAAGATGGGAAGTTTGGCCAAGTGCTGCAGCGGACTTTGCATCGAACTCCAGAAGTTTTACACAGCAAACGGGAAAAAAAGGTGAAGCACTTGGCAGAAAAAAGTCCCAGTGGATTATAGGATGGAATTAGAGAAAAAACAAAAAAAGGCAAAACGGAAACACAAGAAAACGGAGGAGCTGCTGGAGGATGAAAGGGCATATTTATGCAAACAAATGGAGACTTATGACCTACAACTCCAGGAAAGAGTGTTGGCTTCTTTTTGCTCAAGTCACACTGTGATCAGAGTCCAACATAAACAGGGTTTACATTGGTCATTAAAAATCATTAAGTCATTAAATAATTTTTTTTAATGAAGGCCTTGATTGGCATTAAAATTCACTAAATGTAATTCTTGTGGCATTAAAATGCTTTATTAAAGAAAAAAAAAAAAGAATTTCGTCAAATATATTTTAATGCGATATATTTGTGCCGAAATGCTTCGGGTTGATCGTAAGGCTGTATGTTAGAAAAATAATGTTGAGGTTGAGAAAAAGCTAAAGAATGGGGGGAAAAATTCAAATTTCAACAAAAAGTGGCTGGTAACACGGCTGCACACTAACGACAACGACGAAGGATTTTGCAGTGTGTGTGTGTATATATATATACACACTATATTGCCAAAAGTATTTGCTCACCCATCCAAATTATTGGAATCAGGTGTTCCAATCACTTCCATGGCCACAGGTGTATAAATTCAAGCACCTAGGCATGCAGACTGTTTTTACAAACATTTGTGAAAGAATGGGTCGCTCTCAGGAGCTCAGTGAATTCCAGCGTGGAACTGTGATAGGATGCCACCTGTGCAACAAATCCAGTCGTGAAATTTCCTCGCTCCTAAATATTCCACAGTCAACTGTCAGCTGTATTATAAGAAAATGGAAGTGTTTGGGAACGACAGCAACTCAGCCACGAAGTGGTAGGCCACGTAAACTGACGGAGCGGGGTCAGCGGATGCTGACGCGCATAGTGCGAAGAGGTCGCCAACTTTCTGCAGAGTCAATCACTACAGACCTCCAAACTTCATGTGGCCTTCAGATTAGCTCAAGAACAGTGCGCAGAGAGCTTCATGGAATGGGTTTCCATGGTCGAGCAGCTGCATCCAAGCCATACATCACCAAGTGCAATGCAAAGCGTCGGATGCGGTGGTGTAAAGCACGCCGCCACTGGACTCTAGAGCAGTGGAGACGCGTTCTCTGGAGTGACGAATCGCGCTTCTCCATCTGGCAATCTGATGGACGGGTCTGGGTTTGGCGGTTGCCAGGAGAACGGTACTTGTCTGACTGCATTGTGCCAAGTGTAAAGTTTGGTGGAGGGGGGATTATGGTGTGGGGTTGTTTTTCAGGAGCTGGGCTTGGCCCCTTAGTTCCAGTGAAAGGAACTCTGAATGCTTCAGCATACCAAGACATTTTGGACAATTCCATGCTCCCAACTTTGTGGGAACAGTTTGGAGCTGGCCCCTTCCTCTTCCAACATGACTGTGCACCAGTGCACAAAGCAAGGTCCATAAAGACATGGATGACAGAGTCTGGTGTGGATGAACTTGACTGGCCTGCACAGAGTCCTGACCTCAACCCGATAGAACACCTTTGGGATGAATTAGAGCGGAGACTGAGAGCCAGGCCTTCTCGTCCAACATCAGTGTGCGACCTCACAAATGCGCTTCTGGAAGAATGGTCAAAAATTCCCATAAACACACTCCTAAACCTTGTGGACAGCCTTCCCAGAAGAGTTGAAGCTGTTCTAGCTGCAAAGGGTGGACCGACGTCATATTGAACCCTATGGATTAGGAACGGGATGTCACTTAAGCTCATATGTGAGTCAAGGCAGGTGAGCAAATACTTTTGGCAATATAGTGTATATATATATATATAGATTTTGAACTTGACTGCATTAAAATTATTTCTAAAAGCATTAAAAGAATATTAAAAACCATTAAATTAGAGTTACTCATTCCTGTATAAACCCCGTTAAAGCAAGGTGACGTTATTTAAGACTTTCCCCATCTTTGAGTGTCTAATTCAAATTGATCTTTCAAAAATTGAGAGTATTAAAATGTTCACTGACCAGTTGAGATGCATCAAACTGCTCCATATTCAGGGATGAGTTAAAATGAAACGATTATATATTTAGCTGGCTTGGTTTGCTTTCACATAGTTGTAAAACAGTTTTTTTTTTATTAAGGGGTTCATGTTGCTCCAGTATTGCCTTGATAGAGAAGAAGAAAAATTACACTACTCTGTTCCAAACGAGACACTTTTAAACTCTCTTTTTCATGTTTGTTTTTTCTTCTTAGTTTTTCCTATTGTTCTATTTGCATTAGGGTAAAACACATTTCAAAAGTTTGGCGTGAAAGGGCCAGAAAAAGAACTAGAAAAGCACTTTGGAGAACACATACCTCCAAGCAGCAAATTTTGGCACATATTGTGACCTACAGCTAGAGCTAAAGCTCCCACATGATCTGGATCATTACCAAGTTTTAATGAATTATTCCTTAGCATGAGGTGCATCTTTAAGTATAGGTTTATAAACCACCTAGACAAAGACAACCTCCTTGCATTCCAAGTGTGAAACATGGTGGTAGTTGCATCATGCTGTGGGGATTAGTTTCATCATTATTCAGCAGCGAAACCTGTTAAATGTGAATTAATGAGCAGAATACAGGAACAACCTGGAAGTAAACCTGTAAGGAGTTTTGGTTAAGGTTCACCTTTTGGTTTGAAGTGACTGTAAACAAACGCTGCATCTGCACTAAACTGAAAAGCTTTCAGTCGAAGCAGCCATGGGGTAGGATAGACCAGTTAGTGCTCAGTGCTAGATCAGTCGTATATCTAGAAAACCCATGGAATTTTCTCATCGTCAAGTGTTACTAACCTAACAGTAAAATGTTAAAATGTCAGTAATTCCTTCTTTTCTTTTTTTAGAAGGGGTGCATCGCTTTCTCAAAGATTAGCTCACAATGGACATGCAAAGCATAAACTGAAGAACAACGGTGTAGTGAGAAAGAGTAAGTAGTTTGCAGCCGGTGATTTCTAGCTTATCATGCTGGTTTGGCTTACAGTTCTCTTTATTGCCTTTTTCATTTAAAGGTGCTGTTCAGCTGGGAAAAAAGGAGCAGGAGTCTCATTGGGAGAAATATCTTATCTCATGCTACTCTCAAAACAAGAAGTGAGCTCTGCAAGCTGTACATTGCCGAGTCTGTACAGTAAAGTAGTGGAATAAATCATTTCCAGTCTGTCATGTAGCAAAGAGACACTTTTAATCCACTTTGTCTGCAACTTTTCGGTTTTGATCGACCATATCTGCCCTTAAACCTATTTTAACTTGGGGCTCAACCCTTTTTTGGTTTTTGTTACTATGTTTAAAAGTTGGTAGAATAACATATAGAAGTGTGATTAGTCTTTAAATTTTTTCATTGCTGTCTTTAAATTATATATTTTCTTCTGTACATTTAGTTTATTTGGTTTTGTAAAGACTCTTCTGCAAGTGTAATATTTTATATATCAATTCTGTATTTCCTTTCTTGCTTCTTGAAATGGGGCGCCTTCCCAGATGTTCCCACCATCTCGTCTGCCTTTTTAAATTGGTAGTATGGATCTGATTAAGCTGTAAAAGGAGTAAAATTCGAAACTAACTTATTTTTGTTACTGCATGAGTGCTTGGAAAAAGGTTTTTGTTTGTTTTGAACTTAAAAGTTAAAGTTCTAAAAGTATAGACCCAGCTTTAAAAGTTTTAAACTTTCCATGTAAATGTTCTTAAAACCCAATTCATCATAAAAATGTGCGTTCCCTTTCTCCAACTCTGACCAATCAGTACAGGTACGCATATATTGGAGGGACTAACAGATTGATTAATGTGGGGAACTGAAGCTCGATCTTATTTCTTTCAAGAAATTTTTCACTTCATATGAAAGTAATTTACTTTATGAAATAAGAAGCTGCAGAGTATATGAATCTGCGCTGCTGAGGGGACGTGTTACAAATAAAAGAAGGTTCGTAAGCAGCTTCGATTCAAAGTAAAGCAAGTTTATACATTAAAATCTTACAGCTCCTACAGTTTTACATTTATATCAATTATCCATACATTTTACCAACTCCAGTTTAATAATTAGTTAAATGTGAGAACAGTAAAGTAGGTTAAGATCAATACTCAGGACTCCAAAGTTGATAAGCAGAAAAATATTTTAAAAGCTCTCAAGCCATTTTCATATTACTCGTAGTGCCACAGAGGAAACAAAAAGATGCCGCTAAGCATCCTGGGAAATTACAGAAAGTCCACCTTTAACTGCTAAGGGCGATATTAATCTGCCTAAATACTGGTTACTTTTAAAGGGACAGGATTACTTTGAATAAGTTTAGTTGTCTCTTGTTTGAATGCAATGTTCAGCATTAAAAAACTTAATTTTAAGTATTCATCTGACCAAAGAACAGTTACATAAAACAAGCAATGTCCCAATGTCATTCCTTATATCTAAGACAAATGTGGACAATATTAATCAGCATATTCAATAGTAACAGGATTATTTTGAATTCAATTCACTATACAATGTTATTTTTGGTTGTAATCTGACAAAACAGCTGCATGAAGCAAGCAGCATTTAACGGCTGGAGACTTTGTAAACTGGACATTAGGAAGTCCTTTACAGGGTTAACTAATTCTTCCTGACCCAGGATGGATGATGACTGGTTATCAGCTGATCAGGCTCCATAGAGGTTTGCTCTCAGATCTATGTGCTGAACTGGTTCCAGTACTGGAAGGATTGACCTGCCAGATCCACGCTATCCCTGTTCATCCCCATAAAAAAAATCCCGGGTTCTAAAGAAACACAAATAAATATAAAAAATCCATACACATAGAATTTAAAATACATTCTTGAGTAGAAAAAACAAAGTTCAATATGGGGATGAGGCTTTATGTTGCAGTCAGCTTATTAAATATCTATAATAAAGAGAGATTAGGAAATGTCTAAATAAAATGAGCTGATGTAGGTGAAAAATGGGCACAAAGACCCCATCAATCTGCAGTGCAGTATGCTTATAGATGGGCATACCATACTGCAGATTGATGGGGTCTTGGTTTTTTGAATGAATGTGGTTCCTACTGTAATTATCAACAATTAGAACCATAAAATCTACGATAATATCATAGTCTGGTCAACTTTATCCTGCCGGGGTTTTCTTGTTAATATGCTCAGTCCACATCAGATTGAAGGTACCATTAATAATACTTTTTTTTTTAAACTGGCTACCACACATATTTACCAGTTTCCACCTCATGCCCCCTGACTGCGGTTGCCACTGAATAACATTGATTTAGAGGGGAAGATTTGGATGCAAACTTTGAGGCACAGCTGTGATCTATAAAGGAAGATTGCTCGGCTTTGAGCGTGCACATGGTTTTATAAATCAAGATTTTTATTTTCACTTTTACTACGGATTCCACTGTAGAAAGTAGACCCCAATTATTTGTGTTTCAATGCTATAAACAGACAGCAGAGAAAACTGGGTTCATTTCACTATGGCTCATTTTAAAGTTCTACAATTGGATGTTGATTTCTTTGTACGTTTCTGCTTTTTAAATAAAATCACTATCTTTGGCACACTTTAAGATTCCTGTCTTCTCTGGGTGTATTGCAAATGAGTTTTTGAGTTCATTCAGAGATTTGGCTTCTCCACTCGGACCTCCCGCTGGACTTGTCAGAAGTGATGCAGCGATGGCTGGGCGTACTGCTATAGATTATTTTAACGTATGTAGAATGACAAATGGAAATTGTTTCCCCTGGAGTTCAGTTTGTTACACTAAATTGTTTTTTTTTCTCTCTCTCGCTCTCTTTTGGACTTTTTATGAGAACCAACTGTAAAGTATCACTTCACAGGCCTCTGAAACACTCCGTTTCTGCATCGTGTTTCTGGGTGGGTTTAAGAACATGAGCAATGAGTGATTCATCTTGTTTCACTTTCAATTCATGTACAATAAAGTTAAGACTGCACACAGGGTGCTGTTGTAAAAGAGGGAATTTGATAAAAGTGGGTTTAAAGTGAGGTCAGGGGTGTTTTGAAGCTGGAAAAAAACAAAGACAGCCCTGAACTGTAGTGCATTCATACAATAACATCATGATGGAACAGCTGAGGGGATCATCTAATTATCAGTACATTATCAAAAAGGAAGAAAAAAAAATAAAGGCACATATTTTGTTTTACTGCCAGCCTCATTCTGTGCAGCAGTGGCTCAGGTCAAAAGCTTCCTTCACGTCACTGCCCTGCCAAGCACAATAAATAATGAGGCAGGGCTGAGGCCTTTGTGTCCACACAGATTCCTTCTTTTGCCCCGGGGTGGGCGGAAATCGAGGCGTTTGATCCGAATTCTAAAGAGTCTTGTTGTCGTCCCATAAAGGCTGCCATTGTATGTAAATAGTTTATATAAGAGCATATGACTGCTACGGTGCAGGGCAGCGGCTAGTGGCGGAGGAATGATTTGCATTTTCCAAACGCACGGTGTTCCCTATCCAGCCTTTTGGCTCGCTAAAAAACAGAATATTTGATTTATTTTCTTCCCTTTTTGTACACATTTCTGTGTACCACCACAGCTGAAGGTAAAATACATGGTTTATCTTCTTCATCTTGGCTTATACTAACAGTCATTTTGTGTAAAGATTAGATTAGATGTAGCTGATATGCTCCCAAAATCAGTTAGAAATTAAACTTATAAATTGTTTTAAAGGAAATATCTTTTTATTTGATGTGGTATTTTTTGCCAAATGATGACACTGGTCTTCCTGAGTCCTTGATGTGATTACAGCTGTCCCTCTGTCTGTCCGTCTGTGAATGACTCGTAGGCCAGTTTTGGACTACAGTATTAATATGGGGTCAGCAAACCATGTGACTCAGCAAAAGTTTTGCAATTGGCTTTGATTTCTTGCATCTTGTGATGCTGCTTTGTGTTAGGCCATCACCCCTGCTTTTATAGAGCAGGCAAGCTGCGTTGGCATTTCTTGCCAGCGGTGTCTTACAAGACTATCTTGATGTTCAAGTCAAGACTCAGAGTGGTCATCTTTGGCCCCGGCGTTGCTTACGCCGCTTGCACCGCCGGATGAGCCTGGGAAGGCTCTGGAAACTAATCCTTTGACAATTTATCCTGATTCTACCTTAAGATAGTTGTGTAGATCAACTCTTAGGCTACTAGAAAGGTTTAGTTTTATTGCATTGTTTTTTTTATTTTCTTGAGGTGCTGTTTTAAAAATGGAAAAGCATTTTAAAAATGTGTGTTTAATGAAATAACCAGAATTGTATCCTACCTTGAACTTTCTGCAGACCTGGAGTCGAAGATGAACTGGGGGTCCTTTTATGCCGTGATCAGCGGCGTAAACAGGCATTCCACCGGCATCGGACGCATCTGGCTCTCCGTCATCTTCATCTTCCGAATCCTGGTGCTGGTGGTTGCCGCCGAGAGCGTGTGGGGGGATGAGAAGTCCGGCTTCACCTGCAACACTCAGCAGCCTGGCTGTAACAGCGTCTGCTACGACCAGTTCTTCCCCATCTCGCACATCCGGCTGTGGGCTCTTCAGCTCATCCTGGTCTCAACCCCGGCACTGCTGGTGGCCATGCATGTGGCCCACCGGCGACACGTGGACAAGAAAGCCCTGAAAAGGTCAGGGCGAGGTAGCCCTAAAGAGCTGGAGCACATCAAGAACCAGAAATTTCAGATCACAGGAGCTCTTTGGTGGACATACATGATCAGCATCGTCTTCAGAATCATCTTTGAGCTGGCGTTCCTCTACATCTTCTACTTGATCTATCCAACTTTTAAAATGGTGCGTTTGGTGAAATGTGACTCATATCCGTGCCCCAACACGGTGGACTGCTTTGTCTCCAGACCAACAGAAAAGACAATATTCACAGTGTTCATGCTGGCTGTGTCTGGAGTGTGTGTGCTGCTCAACCTGGCCGAGGTGGTTTACCTCATAGGAAGGGCCTGCAAACGGTGCATGAGTCGCCCTGAGGATGAGTCAAAAGCTGCTTGGATAACTCAAAAGTTGTCTTCATACAGACAAAATGAAATCAATCAGCTGATAGCGGATCATTCTCTCAAGTCCAAGTTAACTGTGACCAAAAAGAGCCCGACTGAAAAGGGCGAGAGGTGTTCTGCCTTCTAAAGCTTATTTAAACTAACGAGTCCTGCCTGTCAAATAAGTATCCTCTGCATTAATGACACCTAAACTGTGTATCTGATTATTTTACCTGCTATTTATATGTAATAAAAACAATTACTTGTTGTTTTCTTTATATTTATGGGAATGAAAAACGGTCTGCCTTTTCTGGCCTGAACCATTTAAAGTCTATGAAGACTTGGGAAAGGTTTTCTCCAAATTTCACATGGCGTACCGTGATGTGTTAGGTTTTTGCTTTTTTTAGTGTCCTCTGCTCATTCCCACACAAGTCGATGCTGTGGGAAAACGTCCTGATTTACGCCAAACTTCAGCGGTCATGCCTTCATTTGTTTCGTTCAGGGTTGCATATCTGAGGCATGACAGAAAATTCCGATTGCAATGGATTTGATGAGATCTAGCAGGTCCAGACTGTCTGTACTCTTGAAGTTCCCAGTTTATTTGCCAGCATAGTTGTATATATGAGCTGTGAAATGAAGAAAAACCTTCCTGCATATTTCTATTTTACCATAAAATATGTGATGTGATTTTTTTGTTGTTGCAAACGTATCATTTTTGGAAAATTATTCTGGATCAGGTTGCATAGGAATATAAATCACTGCAGGTTCGCCTTTTTTTCCCCGTTGAACCATTAGGGTTATTAAACTTTAGCTGCCTTTCTTGAGTAAAACATTTTTTTTTTTGTCTGGTAGAGAGGGAACATCAATAAAGCATTCAAAATTCCAGATAAGAGACTTGTTTAGCTATAAAAAGCATACTCTTGTATTATTGATGTTCAGATCAAAGCTGATACATGAAAGAGAAAGTCGTTGTTTCCCTTACATATTTAGGTAAATTGCTTTATAAGACTATAAAACTATTGCTGCTGTAAATTTAAATGTTGTAAATCTTTAAAGCCAGGAAATAGTCCTTTAAAAAACCAGTGTGTCAAAATTACATAAAAAAAACATAATTCTGGTTATTCACTTACCTAATGTAATCTGTTACACCCTGATATAGGAAAATGGCTGCTTGGATACCTGCTGCAAACATTTAAGTATTGATTAATTGAGGTGTAATTAAAACTACTGATGTAGGGCTAATAAACATATTAGCATTATTTTTTTTTCTCTGTTTCAGAAAAAATAAGGAAACAAAAACTTTTAGGTTAGGTTGTTTTTGTTCTTTATGTTTTTTGATTGTAGGCGGACAAATCTGAAACTTTAACTTACCTGCTTCGAAATTCTTCCTTATGGAAAATCCATGTGCTGAATATCACAGATTCAAAATGGAAAACATGGTGCCTTTACCGATTAATGGTGATATTTTTATCCTAACCAAACAAGATTAAAAAAAAAAAATTCAGTTAATTTCTGATTAATATTTTGAAGCTGATCAAAAAGTCAATAGATCTCATTTGGTCCCTGCATCCGGATTATTACTTTAAATTAGTTGTAATCAGATTATTTGGTCAAAAAGCACCAGCAAGTTTTCACATAGTGTTTTTTTTAATACATTGTTATGTCCTCATATGAACTTTTGTTGCCAGGCAACAAAAATGCACCAAATCCCATCCAGGTACAAATTTTATATGAACCATGTTGGGTTCTTATAATTTTTATTAGAATAAATGTCTTTGCTTAAATAATGTACTATTTTGCAACCAATTGTTTGCTCTTCTTCTCTGCCACTTTAAGTGGTAACCTTACCTTACCATAGGCTACTCATCTCCCAATCATGCCACCCACCCGCCCTCAGTGATAGGAGATGGGCCCCTTTGCTATATTTAGACCCTAGGGGCTCTTTTGGCAAGACGGGCCTAACTGACAAACATCATTGGCTTGCTTCCCTGTCACTCAGTGTAACAGCTGGGAAAAAGGTCTTCAGAAGTTTACATTAGAGAGAGTCCACTGTGCCAAATTTAACCACAGAGGGGAGGGGAGTGTTGTGGGAGAGCAGGGGACATGGTTAAGACGGCTTCCAGTTGACTATGTGTCTGCGGTGGTCAGCGGAAGAGCCCTGGGCCGCAGCCTGGGTCTTGATTTCTGCCTGTGTTGAGATGTGAAGATGGACGACTGAGTCATTTGGCTTTTTCAAAGCGGAACAAAGCGTCTCGCTAGAAGGAGTCTGCTTTTCCTGTCCATTCAAGGGCAATGCTTGAGGGCCCTCTGATCAGGTGCCGTACTGAGGCCTGTCTGCAGATCGGGGCGGCCCCATGGAGCCTCCAGGACATGAAAAGCTTCAGGAGATTTTTTAGGTTTACAAGGTGGTTTTCACCAGAACATGTGAGTTGTATATTTCATTTGTTAAAAAATGTTTTTTTTTTTTTACTTAACTCATTGTCTCTCTGCTACCACTGGTAAAATCAAGAGCTTGTTTTAAAAAAATGACATTTTAGCCTGTGATTGTCAAAGCATTTAAGAAATGTCTTTGAGGTTGCTCCCAACACATCCATTCAGCTTACAGAAGTGTCATGCCACCAGTTTATATCTATCTTTGGGAAACATTTATAACCTCGTTTCTCACAGAGGCTCAGACTAGCAGCATTCTTCAGTGTCTCAGGTTTGAACCTTCACCACATCAGCCCAGTGTTTGATTTCACCTTCTTCAGGGGATCACGTTGCTACGGTTTGGGTCACGAAGGCCAGGACATGCAGAATCATGCCTGAAACCTGCCTTACCCCTGTCCACACTTGCCAAATATATACCCTCCTAAAGTAATTTTAATCCTGTCTGCATCCACACGGATGAGGCTGCTACTCATGCGGCAGCTGAATCCTCAGTTACAAGCTCAGCCTGTTAGACTGACCTGATGGGAGCTTCCTGTAACTTTTTGGACAATTTGCATTAATTTAGCATAAAGAAAATAACATTTAAAATAAATGAGTATCATGTGATAACATTATTTTGTGTGTAACCCTTTAATTTAATCTTAGTGAGCGGATACAGCCATGGGAGACTGGAACTTGCTAGGAAAGCTTCTGGAAAAAGCCCAGGAGCACTCCACCGTGGTCGGAAAGGTCTGGCTCACGGTCCTGTTCATCTTCCGCATCCTCATCCTGAGTGCCGCCACTGAGAAAGTATGGGGCGACGAGCAGTCGGGGTTCACCTGCGATACCAAGCAGCCTGGTTGCGAGAACGTTTGCTATGACATCACCTTCCCCATCTCCCACGTCCGCTTCTGGGTGCTGCAGATCATCTTCGTGTCAACGCCCACCCTCATCTATCTGGGACACATTCTCCACCTGGTGCGGATGGAGGAGAAACGCAAGGAGAAAGACAGGGAGATGAAAGAACACGGAGACAAAGAGACTCCCATCGTGGATCATCACAAGAAAGCTCTTATAAGGGATGAGAAAGGACGAGTGCGGCTTCAGGGGGAGCTCCTGCGCACGTATGTCTTCAATGTCATCTTTAAGACATTGTTTGAGGTGGGCTTTATTGTAGCCCAGTACCTCTTGTATGGTTTTGAACTGAAACCGATGTATACATGTGACAGACCACCTTGTCCAAATGTGGTTAACTGCTACATATCCCGCCCCACAGAGAAAACTATATTCATCATCTTCATGCTCGGGGTTGCTAGTGTCTCGCTGTTCCTAAACCTCATAGAGATCTACCACCTGGGTTTCACCAAGTGTCGTCAGGTCATCACCTTCAAGAGAAACTGTCAAAACCAGCAGAGCATCGCCAAGGGCCCCAGTGAGGCTGCCCTGCCAATCGTACCAAGCTATGATGACTACTTTCGAGGACACCGACAAGTCCAGCCATCTTACCCGCCGGTACCCAGCTATGACCTCTCCCCCCTGTCCGAGGGTACAGACTCGTCCTTCCATCCTTACCACAGCAAGGCAGCCTACAAACAGAATAAGGACAATTTGGCGGTTGAGAGGAGCAGCAGCAAGCCAGAGGAATGTGACCTAAAGGGAAAAAAAGGATCTGGATCCGCCCCTGCGTCTCCCACGCAGAACAGGTCTGGCTATGGTGGAAAGCACAGCAGCAGCCGGACTAGAATAGATGATCTGAAGATATGAGGAGGTTTACGTTTCTTGGAAGGGTCTTAAAACGGTTGTGAGGGGAATCTTACTTTGTCGGGAAAGCTGTTTGTACATGCTGATCTCACCCTCTCACACAAGACGGCTCAGGTTTGACTCATTCCAACTTTGGAGGGGGATTCTATTTCAGAGGAGATCCAAATGTACATGTACACCTAAACACACATGGGTTACATTTTTCTAGATGAACTTTCCGACTTTACCGACATTTCATTTCTTATTTGATGAAACTTAATTGTTTTTTTTATTACCGGTATTATCTTAGGCTGGATCATGCATTTGTTTGTGAAACACAAAGGTTAAGAGAATGTTTTAGACAAAAATCGATTAGTATTGGTGATTACTGAAATAACTTGTGAACGACATGATTCTTTCTGCATTGAATTACATAGTTTGGACAGGTTAAAATGGCCTTTTTCTCCTCTTTCCTCGAAGCTTGGACGCTTCTCGGAGTCCTGTACAGGAACGTGTTCGGCTCTGGCTTGACTTTAGTGAATGAAATAAGATAGGGTGAAGAGTTAAGTTTAGCTTCCTTTGCCTGTTTTGAGGTCACGATCAAGTTCACTTGCTCTGACTTGAGGAGAAGAATTGTGCAATACATGACAACACATGGGACACTGGATTGGCTGTATCTGATTCCACAAGAAGTTGGACTGGTGTCAGGAGTTCTAAGATTTGTGCTGTCTCTTTTGTTTTTGGATCGTGTTTCAACAGCCATGAAGTAGATAATTGTGAACACATTTTTTGGGGTTGATCCTTGTTTGTATGTGTATTTGTTTCCTGTAAAGCACTTGGTGACGACCGTGTTTGTTTAACTGCTCGAAATAAACCTGTCTTAAATTTGCACCGCCGGCGGTTCCATCGTGTCTCAGCTCCAAATCTGCAAAAAGGGAAGTAATTACATTGGAAGACAAACACTGCAGTTTTTATTTACTATGTTTTTTTTTTTATCACTATACAATGTTGTGCTCTTCATCCTCACATTTACAGTCCCTCGCAAAAGTATTCATACAAATGGTACTTTTTCCCATTTTATTACATTATGACAATTGACGCACCATTATTGAAGGAAACTGTAGATCAAGTGATGGTGAAAAAGGGCTGATTCCATATGAGCAAATATATTCATTCTAATCCGATAAGAAATTTCAATTAGGTTTATAAATCTATTTAATAGCGGGTTAGTTTCCTCTGTTAAATACAGTGAATTGAAATATTTCAGTTGCATATTCCTGTTGACACAATTAGTTTTTTCTGACTTTATACTAATCTGAAGATCCTTTTAGGGATGTGCAGGTGTAAGATTCATACATATAACACCTGCTTGTAGAGAGACGTTTATGACGGTGTCTTAAAAAAATCCACAGTAATGATGAAAAGATGAAAGGAAACATAGAAATATCAGGATTTAGTGACATCCTAAATGAAGTGTCTGAATGGGCCCTATTTATCACCCCTATTTCTAACCATGTGAAGTTGTAGAACAGGTCAAAAAGTAGAAATCGTAACTGTCAAGTTAAAGAAAAACAATGTATACTTTTCAAAATATGTTAGAATAAGATTTGGTATTTAAATTTAACTCCATTATGCAAATAGGTCTAAATAAAACTACTCTGCAGCCACTGCCTTCTTGAATACTCTTTTTTTTCAACTGAATTTTCAGATTTCAGGTTGTGGGGAATGGAGGCCTTGTAGTTAGAGCATAGGGCTTGGACTCCTAAAGTTCTGAGTTCAAGCCCCACTACCACAGACTGCCACTCTGGGTCCCTGAGCAAGACCCTTAACCCCAAACTGCTCCCTGCACGCCAGACGATGGCAGCCCACTGCTCCCCAAGGGGATGGGTTAAATGCAGAGGTAAATTTCCAATGTTAGATCAAAAAAGTTCAATTATTATTATTTTTGAATGACCTAGATCTCAATTCAATTCAGAATCTTTGGCAATACTTGCATATGGCTGTTAATAGACACTCCTCATCCACTTTGTCTTAGTTTGAGTTATTTAAAAAAGAATGATACGTCTCTAGATTTGATCAAGATTCATATTTCATAATAGCAAAGTCCATGAAAACCATGTATCCTTCCACCTTTATAATTCCTCCACTAAATCCTATTGGTCTGTCACAAAAAAATACAATATTTTAAAATAATAAAAGATTTAAAAAGCAATAACACAATGAAAGGTGTTGTGAATAACACAGGATTAGTTTCACAAAAAACAGATATTGTTGCTAGAGTCTACAGAGTTCAATCTATCATAACTTTTTAGGTGTACAGAAGAATGAGTCACTCATTTTATATTTCACTATATCAAAACCGGCATGTTTATGAAAAAATAAAACACATCATGTTTAAAGAGTCGTACTTTTTTTAAAACAGAGTACAGAAAATGTGCACTTCTGGTATGAAAACCTTGAAAATGAGAGTTGAAGAAGATAAAGCGCTCTCATTTCTTCAGACTTGTTTATCATTTCAACACTTGAGCTGTTAGAGGAAAAGCAAAACAGATTATTGGGTTTTTCAAAAGTATATATATATATATATATATATATATATATATATATATATATATATATATATATATATATATATATATATATATATATATATATATATAATAGTAAATCCCATTATGAATCATGTTTTTTTTTTTTTTTTTTTTTTTTTTTTTTGAGTTTTGGCTGGATGTGAGAGCTTTTATTTATGTTTGTTGAGGTGCCAAAAAAACAATTATTGAACACTCAGAAGTGTTATTTGCACCATAAAAGGACCATAAATCAGTAATCGTGCTGAAATGAAAGTAAAAAATGAAAGTTTATCTGTGATCTTATGTTAATTTTCTTTCTAGGGAAGATGATAGAGTTTTTAAAATGATTACAGATGAACAGTTATGGGTTATGATTTTATTCAACATGTTGAAATAAAATCTTTTGCCTCCCCCCCTCCAAACATTAGGCTGACACATATCGCTGCTCATTCTTGCATCTGTAATAATGAAGCGTTTATCACTAATTAAATTAGATCCTTCCTTTACAGTGGAAAAGGCTTGAAAGGAGTTGTTTCCTGTGGCAGATGGAAACTAATGAAAATCATCACACATTTGCCTTAATTGAATTTCCTGTTTTCTTGGTTTTTATATTTTGAAGAGTAACTTTATCATACTCATATCATATTGATGCCCTGGAGGAAACAAGAGACCATGGATGACACATTTGAAGTTATCAGAAATTTAGATGAATCTGGAATGTAAGCTGTTATTAAAACAAACTAATAAAAATCACGTGTCAGTTTTACAGGAGAGAGCTAAGTGTTATCATTTCTAAACTTGCAATTCTCTTTCTCTTTACGGATAAAACTGTTTTTTGTGCCGTTTTTTCTTTTCTTTTCCTGTTTTCTCTACTTCTTAGCGTTTGTCCTGCAAGTTCAGGCCCTGCAACTACGGTTCATTTGAACTGAACTGAAGTAACTTAAAGAGGAATCAGCTCCGCAGGACAGATGCCATACAGTTTTGCTCCCAATAGTTAATGTCTACATTTTACCAGAAGTCCTATATACAATCCCCTTGTCTTTTTTTGATAGAAACAGGATTGCTTTGTTGATGTCTGATTGCTGGACTCCAAAAATTTACTTCCTGATTCCTGTTGCCAGTGAGGAAATTACCTACATGGATCTCTCTCCCTCTCCTCCACTCTGTCAGCTAATAACTGCTTTACGAGCGGTTATACCCCATCTCCCCATCCACCCTCCAACAGTATAACCACTTACTAGCTCCCACCTGGAAAGGAAGGACAACCATTAAACCCTGAACAGCCATGAGATAAATATTTCCATGGATGGATTATGAAACACAGATTGGACTGAAAATTCTTTTAGAGTGTAAGCTTGAGACCTCTCTGCCACTCTTCTGCCAGAGAAGGAGCATCACAGGTGCATCCTGGACTCCCTGTGGTCCTTCTATAAAAGCCTGGTCCCCCACACACCTGATTTCTCTTTTACCTGAGATTTCCCAGGTAACAGAGGAGAAAATCCTCTCCATTGCTGGGCACATTCATCAAACATTGAACTCAGAATGACTCGGCACAAAGATCCAGCAGAGACTAAATGAAAGCAGGGCCTTGAAAGTCACAGAGTTTGGAACCAGCTAGAAATAGCTGGTGGTTTTTCTCCTCTTTCCTAACCACTGCAAAACCCCTCATCTACTCAGACAGAGATTAACACTAGCAGTTACAGGGACAAGGTTTCCAGCTGATCAGTTTGGGTTTTGATCATTTCATTATATTTTATGTGTTTTACTTTTTACTCTGCCTAAAAAGACAAACAGTATAGCAACTGTATGATAGCTGTCTGTAACATCAGAGCAAATGTGAGGCTGATAAAAAAGGGCCAGCTGTGTTGTAGGAACTCCTCTGGAGATGATTTCACAAGGAAGAATTATCCATTAAGCTAACGGTACTGAAAACAGTAAGCATCCTCTTCCTCAGGCTGTTAAACAACCAGGGGCGGAGCTAGATGGGGGGACAGGGGTGGCCATAGCCACCCTTAGCCAATCCCCTACCATTTATTTCCCTCTAATATAAACGGTGGCAGCAGTAACACTCTCAAGTGGAATATCAAAACATTTACATTTTTCATATATCAACAATTACTTGTCAACAAAAACGTTGTGGTTAATTATGCACATCAATATACTAACATTAAAGATGATTAGTACAGAATTCAAGCAGAAATAGATTTTGTAATTTATGGGGTAAAGAGAAAATGATGTGTCTCTGCAAGTCATCTAGGAGTCTTCAGTGAAATCATAGCTAAATATCTATTTTAATAAAAATGTATTAATCAATTTATGTAGATATCAGAACTTGTAAATATCAATTTTATGCAGAATGATTACTGATAAAAGTAGGCAAGTAATGACAATGGAAAAGAAGTTTACCCAAAACTCAAACCTGAAAGGATTCTATCCTTATACATTTTATCCAGATAAAACGGATGTTTAAATATATTTGTCTATTTGTTAGCAAAGGCTGTAGGAAAGTATAGTTTGTCTTTATTTAGAAAATATGGATTTTTGTTATGAATGGTGTAGATTGACCGTGAGGTTTTAGTGCCTATCTGCTCTCGGCCACCCCCTCAGTGTACATTGGTTATTGCCTGGCCATCCTCATAAAAATTTTCTGGCTACGCCTCTATAAACAACAGACCGTCTTAAGTTCAACCGCTACAGCTATCAACATCCACAATGGAAAAACGATCTAGAAATAAATAATAATATTTCTTAAATTATGTGTATTTAGCCTTAATTTGAGTACGGTAGGTAAATGAGATGGTTTGCCAATGGAATGAGAATTTTTACTCTTACAATAAGATAATTAGATAGAATGCACTTGAAATAAGACAATGCAATTATATTTTCCTTTTTTAAATGTAAATTGTCCTGTTTCATTGGCAAAATGTCTCTTTTGATTCCTCAATTAGAGGACTTATTTTTATAAAAAATGATTTATCTAGAGTTAGGTTTTTTCCAGTGAACAACTTAATGAAACGCTAAGTTAATAAATCATTTAATTTTCTTTTGGGATGTATCGGGTAGTTTTGAATTGTACTGCATTGCATTGTAAATGCTCTAAATTAAGTTTAAAAGCTAATTTGACCTTGCGCTTGGAATCCTGAGGTTTAAGGATTTCAAACCTCAATCCCACAGACCGCCACTCTGGGTCCCTGAGCAAGACTCTTAACCCCACACTGCTCCCTGGGTGCCACACAATGGCAGCCCACTGCTTCCAATGGGGATGGGTTAAATGCAGAGAGTTCATTCCGTTGCTCTGTACTTGTGACAGTATAACGACTA